AACACTGTTCTGGAAATTCCCAGATATTTTTTTACTTTTTCTATATAAGAACCCCAATCATAAGAAACAAACAATATTCAAGGTCCAAAAATAAAAAAAGAAAGTTGTTAGTTGCCCAAAGAGAAGTGTGCGAGGTCATACACTAATGGCGGGGGTTAGTATTAGGGCACTTGTTGGGGAGCTGGGAGCACTTTAAATGCAAAAGGAAGAGAAATCCCTTCGTGACCTCCAGATAACCCAGAGGAGCTAATCCTGGCTCCACGGTGCTCTGGTCAGTAGGCTCCCTGCCACTTTGCAACTCTGATTCAAAGCAAGGCTCTGGACACATTGAACTTAATTTGCTGGAGAAGGGCCAGACCACTCACCTCTATATATGCAAATCAATATCAATCAATGGGGGACAATTCCTGGAAGGCTCGTTCATTATGGAGGGCCAGGAGAGGAGGGTTCAGGGGGCTAATAGTACTTCACACCTACTATGTGGTCCGTATTGAGGAGGTCTGTTTTTCAGACCGCTATTTAGTGCTGTTTGCTGCTCCGGCTGGGCTGTGACGATATTGCTGCTAAACACACCAAGACCCTGCGGAGCATCATGGGCAACAAGATTGTGCTTGTAAATGTCAATATTTGCAGACCTTGGGCCAGGGCGATACAGCTAAATCAATTATCCAAAAAAGATTTAAATGTCATTCAGGGTATACATGATATAAGGTCATGCATTTCCTGAATAACCATCCAATGACTAGTTTGGACTGTTATGAATTAGATCTTGATGAATATTCGATAAATGGTTGGATCCTAAAGTCCCAGACCACCCTGAAAATATCAAAGCAATATCTTAGATTCTGTAAGTCACTATTTAGACATCAGACAATTAGACAAACAAAAGTTTGGGATTAGTAATACTTTTTCCAGAAAGGAGGCATTCAATTGACCAAAAGTGACAAGAAACACGTTTATAGTTCAAATAAATGCTCTTCAATCGAATGCTCTATTCAAGGAATCTTGAAAAATGTTTTATGGTTTTCACAAAAACATTAAGCAGAACAACTGATTTTAACACTGATACTCATAAGAAATGTTTCTTGAGCACCAAATCAGCATATTAGAGTGATTTCTGAAGGATCATGTGACACTGGAGTAATGATGCTGAAAGCTTTCAGCTTTGCCATCAAAGGAATAAATTACATTTTACAATATATAAAAATAGAAAACAGTTATTTTAAAGGGGTCATATGATGTTGCTAAAAATAACATTATTTTGTGTATGTGGTGTAATGAAATGTATTTATGCGGTTTAAGGTTCAAAAAACACATTATTATCCACATACTGTACATTACTGTTTCTCCTCTATGCCCCGCCTTTCTGAAACGCGTCGATTTTTACAAAGCTCATCGTTCTGAAAAAAAGAGGGGTGCTGTGATTGGCCAGCTATCCAGTGCGTTGTGATTGGCCGAATACCTCAAGCGTGTGATGGAAATGTTACGTCCCTTACCATATTGTGATGCCGTATCCCGGAGAGATGAGACAAAAACATTAAAACCCATTATAAACGAGGCATTTGTTGCATCCAGTGGGGACATAATTACTGATTATAATGACTTGTACTGTCTTTTTACGCGTTGTGTTGCGCTGCATCGCACCGCGCCGCGTAAACATAAAACCATGTCTGCATTTGTGATCTGAGAAATGACAAACAAGCGCTACTGTACACTGCTCAAAACTCGCGATTGAATAGCCAGTGGCAAACTCTTTAATATAAAAAACGTACTTACAGTCTGTGAGTCAGAACAGCA